AGAGTGGCGGCGGCAGATCATTCTGAATATGTCCCTTCTTTCAACCTTTGTTTCTCCAGTTCTTCTCCTCTCTTTTCTTCCTTTCTCTTTCTTTTCTTCTACTTTTCCTAATCTGAAATCTATTAGGGTTCAAGGCTGATTGTAGTCTTGATCGTCTACTAACCAAAAAAAAGAACATGAATGATTTACTCTTATAGAAAGGCCGTAGGCATCCAGTTAGTACTTAGTACAATATCTGAATATGATTTATCACAACTGAGACATAACATAAGAAGAGGAATGAATGTTACCAGATCCATAAACACAAACTGGGAACCATCTTTGTACGTGTACTGCTTGATTTCCTTCACTATATTTGCTTCATTTATCTGAAGAAACAGAAAATCACTATAAGAATCTAGTTTGAAACCTAGTAATATGGCAGTGCTAAAAGAGCTTCCTGGTTTTTTTGGTAGTTGTAGGCATAAACTTTGAAAGATGCAGTATAGGTAAACCTGGACCCTGGGCAAAGGCAAGGCATTCAGAGATGAGCATGGGACCATTTTAGCCATGTATTATGGATCAATAAAAAGGACTCTACAATAGTTTAATTTGCCAGAAGCATTGCAGAGATTGAGAATGGGAAGATCACTAAATTATAAAAATATAAAGGTAGAAGAGGACTTAAATTCTACAAGAACAATTCCACTAGGGCTATTGCACTTGGTAAGTCAACTTAGTTTCAGTGTGATGAGTTTGCCCTCAAACCTGAATATCTAAACATTACCAGAGAATTCTCATACAGCTGAACAAAGAAACTTAAATATGGTTAATAAGAGAATCTAAGAAGTCCCATGGTCAGTGCTAGTTACCTGGACATGTGACCTGTGTGTCCAGTTCCAAAGTGTCAAGAGGTTTGCCTGACACACTAGACTCTAAAAATCCTAGAGTAGAGACATGGCAATGTAACATAACCAAGTCTTGTTCAATATGTAAATTGCTCGAATGCAAATAAGCGATAGTGTAGATTGGACGAAGTAATCACAAATGTGCACACTATGCAATTACAACAGTCTGCATTCACTATCTTTTGGTAATTATGCTGCAAGAGAAATAACTCTTTTAAGGTAAGGATATGTCATAAATATCTCCTCACCTTGAAAAGTGGTTTGTGGGGACTCTTAAATTGTTTAAGGCTGCAGTGAAGTAAGAGGACAAAGATGATGTTAGGAACCAGTATGTTGAGAAGATAAAAGGAATGGGAGAGAGTGAGAGAGCTGGTCACGCTTAGGGGTGCTCACAGTTTGGTTAACCGAACTGGTATTACCGGTTTCTGGAAAACTGGTAACCTAAACCAAACCAAAGCCGATCAGTTAACCGGTTGACCGGTCTGGTTAACCGTAGGTTTGGGTTGTCAGTTTTTCAGTTTTTTATATTTATAATATATTATAAAAAATATATATAAATATATAATAAAAAACTAGAAGTAAATACAAAAATATTATATTTAAAATAATAAATAATATATTATATATTATAAATATATATTTATATATATAATGCAGATTTATTAATTTATAATATATAGAAAATATAAAGTATATATATAATATAATATACATAAATATACATAAAATATATAGAAATATATGTATACCGGTCAGTTTGGTTAATCGTCAGTTTTCTATATTGGTTAACCAAAACTGAACCGGTACCTTCGGTTTTTTTAAAATACCAAACCAACCGGTTCGATTAACCAGATTTTCAGTTCGGCTTCGGTTGGTTTTTCAGTTTGGTTCATTTTCGGTTTTTCTTGCTCACCCCTAGTCACGCTTCATACAGCTGGAGATTGTATTAAATGAAGAAGTTGATATCAACAATAGTAGAACAACTATGCAGGCAGGATCTGAAATTAAAATAAAATTTAAAAAAAAAAAAAAAACTTTCTCCTTCAGAATGCTATTGCAGAAGCAGAACCCTCGGTGTCTTTCGTGTTTATTTAACACTTTATTTAAACCTATAAATTATGATATAGTATAACAGCATGAATACGGTTTAAGTTGCAACACCTGGATTTTCTATGTCAAACATCTATGTTGTATAAAACATGTCAAGGCATTGTGTGCCATACCTGCACTGCCCATGACTAATAAAAGAGGTATTCATTGCATATCAAAAATATTATAGGCATTCATCTCCCAGGACTGAATTCGATACCAAACAAGGACTCAAACATTCTATCAACCCTTAAGGCCAGATGGAAAACAGAAAAATCCTATGATATACATAAGTGAAATAAGGAAAGTAATGCTAAAGCAGAATTTATCTTTCAGGTGCTGATCATCAGAAATCCCAAACTTATGACTCGCAGGGTGAACTTCTACTAAATCAAATTCACAGAGTATGATATTTCATGAACACATCAGCTTGCAGTTTAAACTATGATATTATTACCGTACTTCCAGCTCGAAACGTTTTCTCAACAACGTTGCCAGTTACATAATTGCGCATTTTGGTCCTAACAAATGCTGCCCCTTTCCCAGGTTTCACGTGAAGAAATTCTGCACAAGAACATCAAATGAGGGAAACACAATTTAACTAGAGATTAGTCCAGAGCAGCACAGGACATATAAGCAGCATGACAGATAAGGTTGTAACTGCTTCTGGAAAACAAATAATAACTGTTTCTGGTCAGTGAAAACTGGTGCTAGTAGGTTCTGTTTCATCCTTGATACTTCCAAGCCTTATTATACTTCTCAAATGGAGTAGTACTATTTCTATACAAACCACTCCTAACAATAAAGAAAAATACCAACTTAAAGTCTTACAAGAAAACACCATAAATAGAACCCCTTACATCTAAACCAAGTATGAGGAGCCTAATTAAGTCATGCATCTTCACTAACAGAACAACATCAAACATCATAGGATACTGACTTCGTACCCAAAGGGATGAATCCATGATGTTTCACCTACAATGTTGTCCCAACATTAATCAGATTTACTTGATAATAGAGAACAGTTAAATAAATCCATCCATGGCTCCTTTTGAGTTGGCATTTTAAAGTCCCTGTCCTAGAGCAAGCGTGAAGTTCAACAGGACCAAACTTGTTGCATGCCGCACTGAGAATCCAAAATGAATTTCAGAGTTTGTGCTGTTTCCTCGTTCAATAATAATGACCTCGCTAAAGCATCACATGGCACTATAACCAATATAGCATCTTCCTTTTATGATCTTAAAAGATATGGCATGCCCTCAATCATGCCATAAAGTTTAGCACATAGTCCACACAACTTGAAAGTCAGAGCAAGAGCAAAACCCATGTCATTATAAATTAATGCTCCGATTGGTTGCACTTAAATGAAGGAAAATGAATGAATTCCATTACAGCGTTTGGTTGCATGTAAAATTACTGTAGAGTATAAATGTTTTCAGAAAAGTTAGTACAAATTGTAGAAAAATGATATTCCTTCTAACTCTTTTTTTGGTAAAGCTCGGTGGTCTGATCTCGATTCATATCTTGCAACACTCATCTTCCTGAACAAATCAAACTTGTCCTCCAAATTAAGAGGAATGTGATTCGTTTTTCTTATTGAGTATCATTTCCAAAGAAACCGGTCAGTTTTCCTTCATTTTACATGCAACCAGACACAATCCAAATTGGAAACTTATTTCAAAAAAGAGCGATGTCCTTTATCATAGTAATTGAATGATAAGACTAAATATCTCTATCAGCATTATCATGTGTCTCAACTCTCAATTCTCGTGAGGACAATTAGAGATAAAACAAGCAACTAGGCAACGTTGTTAGAGACAACTAAGCAATAAAACGTGCATAAACAAGAAAGAATAACTGGTTCCAAGAAACAATCTGGGCAAAATGAAAAACATGCTCAGAACCTTGAATTGAAAAGCACTCCTCAAAAAGAGTGAAAAAAAAAAGAAATTTCATTTTAATAAATAGACTATAACAGAGGGCTCGTACCAATGACTCTCCACGGAGCTCCATCCACTTCAATGTTTGAACCTACTTTAATATCGTTGCTAGAGAATGCTAGGATTTCTGTACAGTAGAAAATGGAATACAGTATATGTCATGGCCATTTTCTAAGAACAATAAGAAGAAGAAGCGTGTCCTCCGGAACTGGTTTCGGGATTTTACTTGGGAATCTGAAGCGCAGAGGAATTCTGGGAAGAACCCGCATTGGGAGAACAGACGTCTTCGATGAGAAAGAAACCGATGACCAACGGAGACAATAACTGGGAGACAGACCCAGGGTTGCGATTCCCGCCATGGTTTTAGTTTTTGGTTGGGAAGAAACAGGAAAACGAGTGTTCCGCCAAAAAAATATATCTCCCCAAATTAAAGGGCCATTCTAAGTCGATAACTGATAAGGAAGGAAGAAGGGATTTCACTCAAGTCTTATGAAGCAGCACATATGCACGGAAACACTGATTGGGATCACGTGTGCGGGGAAGAAAACTGGAGTCTGGAACTCCGGATCTGCTCGGATAGAGCGCGCCTCACATCGACCACACACCATGTCTTGGCCGCACATCGGAAACGTCTCAAATAAAATGTTTTCAATACACGGTGGATGTACTGTGAGATCGGTGTGAGGCGCGCGGTGTGTAAAAGCAGATCCTTGAGAGGAATGAGGCAAAAATTAAAATGAAATAAAAAATCTATCGGGTCGAACCGATGTAGGTGGATTCAGATTTTATTCGCTCATTTTCGGTTTCGACTCGAATCCATCAAATTTATATCGGAACTCGAATCGAATTCAGAATGCAACAAAGCTATTGATTAGCATTCTTAAATTAAATTCAAAATGATCAGCATATCATATGCTAATAATTAAAAAAAAAAAAAACTAGAAATAACTTAGACATTTTATAATGGTCATGAATAATGTGAATGGAACTTGTCTGTCTTACCAGAACCTAACTTTGTTAGATAAAATTAGAACATCCAAAATATATTTAACAGAGCCATGACCTGGTCTATCTTACCAGATTTCCTATGGTTTATGGTCTCTCTTGAGATGTAATTCTCTTGTTGATTGTTGAATGGAATTTGTCTTTGGGTTTTTTTAAAAAAAAAATAAAAAACAGTAAATCTCTTACTGTGGTTTGAAGAAAAAAGTAGGGAAAGACAATGAATGTTTGTAAAGGTTTCCTTACATTTTCCTTCAAACCAAACATAACCTTAAGGTCTTTCTCGTTTTTTGGATTTTGAGAGGGAATAATAGATTTTGGTTCCCATTTATCAAGATACTTGTATTGTTTTTTATATATCCACCTATTGTTTGTAAAATTCCTTATGCTGCATTTGGTTTGAAGGAAACAAGTAGGGAAAGGAAGGGAAAGGTAGGAAAACTTTTACAAACTTTGTATAGGTTTCCCTACCTTTTCCTTCAAACCAAACATAGCCTTTAAGGTGCCTCGATTTTTCTGACAATTTGTTATATATTAGTGCACTATCACAACCTATTTGCATGTGATATCACATGATTTATATGATTTTTTAAAACCCCAAATTTACCCTTTATGGTCAAAAAAAGCCATTTCGACGTTGACCCCTTGGAACCTTAGTCTATTTTCACATTCAATTCAAGAAAAAAAAATAGCATGTTCCCCTTTAGTGGAAGGCTGTGAATAAATTGCATAGCTGAATCTAGGATTCATGTCTGAATTTGGATAAACTTGGATGCAGCTCTGCTTAAAAGTTCATAAATCATTCAATGTGAAAGACTTCGGGTTTATTTAGCGCATCTTTCCGCATAGTCTTTCAGTTGTTTATAAGCCGGGAGTATCGATTTTCAGTCTATTTCCGTTTGGCGTGTGGAAGATCTAGCCATCAAAATACGCAAAAAAAAAAAACCATTTTGGGTTGATTTCAGAAAGCTTCAAATGAAGCTTCTTACATCTTTTGCGTTTTATTCTCGTGCAAAAAGACACGGGAAGATGCACGGAAAAATGCACATCTGCCAAGCGATCTTCGAGTTGTCCAAATATTGTGCCAAAAGCTCAATGCGTCTCTTTAACTGTTATAGCTACAAGAAAATCTTCTCAAAAAGACACGCCAAACGAGCCCATCTTCTATCTATCTTATGTGTGAATCATTGGGTTTTATTTTTTATCTGATGTCTAAGTTATTAGAGGATTACCGTGCACGTGTGTGTGTGTGTTAGGTGAGCTCAATTTGATGTAGTGTCTGAATCTTAGAGAGAGGTGAAGTTAGTTGCAACTTTTTTTTCTTCAATAGTCAGGGGAAGTGAATCCTATTGGCCAATAAACCTATGTTATTTTTTTCAGATTTATGTGAGGAACATGAAAATTTTATTTTATTGGGTATCACTTATAATAGCAATGTTCAATAAACCAGTCTGGCCCGGCCAATGTCCGGTCCGATTTAAACAAAAGCTCATACAGGGAAGGATTTTACTCATAGAGATAAGCTTCATCGCCCCTCTTGACATCGGATCTAACTCGACCAGGCATGAATTGATATTTTATTATTTTCATAAAATATTTAAAGACGATATAAAACTGACAGAAAACTTGAGGGATTTATGGCATATTTGAAGTTTATCAAATTAGTATTGGTTCATATTCTAGTTAGGTTCTAAATTGGATGGAATTTGAATCACCCTTAATATTATCAAATTAGAATTCAAATGCAAACAAATGAGTACGAACCGACCGATTAGTTATCACTCATTCTTATGATATCATTTGATTGATTATTAGGTATCATGCATTTTCTAAAATAAATAGCTGAACCCTAATTTTCTATGCATATTAAGCCCTGTTTGAAAGTGTGTTATTGGATAAATAAGTAATGGCTTATTAACACGTGCTTATCGTAATCAGTTATGGCTTATTAGTGTGTTTATTGGTGTTAGTATACGTACTTTGAAAATTATATCGCAGGCCAAAACGGGTCAAAAAACACAATAAAAACTTATTGGCTATGGAAATGTTTGCAATGCACACCGAAAAGGGCTGTGAGAATGGTGTGGGTATAATTTTGTGGTGATTGAATCTACTCTCTAATGTTTCATATTATTTTGCTAACACATGTTTTATACATAAGCTATATAATTCATATATATATATGATTCACATATGTGAGGTGACGGGATCTGTTCCTCACAAATGGGCACCTCACAGGCACATCCACAATGCATTGGGAACATCTCTCGTGAATAATAATTAATAAGTACGGGAAATGTTCCCAATGCATGATGGGATGCGCATGTGAGGCACCAGGTGTAAGGAGCGGATCCGGTCTTGTATGTGAGATGTATGTGTTTTTGCTGATAGAAGATTGTATAAAAAATGTTTTTTTTTGAGAGTTATATAATTTAAAAGGCAAACAAAAAAGAGGATTATAACCAAACATCTAATTGCATATCCTAAAAACATCACTTTGCAAGAAATCTTTTTTTTTTCACCATAACAGTAGACCATGATACGATTAAGTAAGGTTAGTGTTGATGCATAATGCAAGCGGATCAGATTGGATTGGATTCAAATCAGATTCAACGTTGTCCATGATGTATCCGATTGGATCTCATAAGTAAGGCTATGAATTTGAATTTGATCGGGAAGTCAAATATTCATATCTGATCCAATCCTATTGGTTTTCTTTAAAAATTAATAAATTTTTAAAATAAAAATGAAATATACCATTTTAAATAAAGAAAAACAAAAAATACAAGTATTTTTTTATTTATTTTCATCGTATATATATATATATACATGTTTATTTATAAACAAATAAGCAATATAACAAGTTTATAAAAGAATTTAAATTATATATTTATAAATAAATATATGACCAAATATATTTGATCAAATATGATTGGATTTGATCATGACCCGATCATTTGCACCCATGTGACTTAACTCCATATTTGCATGTATTAATATTACATAAATATGTATTTATACATGTATATTGTATGTTAAGAATTTGTAGGTTAATGGCAAGCTTTTTACAAAACACGATAACCGTAATCTTTTATACATAATAATACTAATATTGAATTAATATAAACCTTTAAAATATAAAAAATAAATACATTTTACAAGAGGAGGTAGAAAAGTTGAGCTAACATGAGCCGACTTGTTATGACTTAGGATTAAGGTCGGGATTGAACAACTCAGGCAAGACTAGGGTTAACCTCAACTCGACCTAAACCGGCTCGACTCAACCCATAGGTGACACCATTCCTATGAGTGCAAATGGATCAGATCATTATTTGGTCGAATTTAGATCATCCCAGTTCAAATCTTTGAATGAGATCGATAATAGGTTCCAATAAAAAATCAGGTCGAATTTGGATCACCCCTATCTGATCCAAGAAGATTCGATCCAATATATATGCTATATATTTATTTATATAAATATAATATATATATGTTATTTATTTATTTATAAACATATTATTTTGATTGTATTTTGTAAGTTTGTTACATTATTTATTTTTTTCAATAAAAATGTATACATATGATGAGAATAATTAAAACAATACTTGTATTGTTTTGTTTTTCTTTATTTAAATCGATATATTTTATTTTTTTCTTTTAATAATTTATTAATTTTTAAAGAGAATAAAGCGAATTGGATCAGTTCCGGATAACAAACACCCTGATTCGAATCCGATCCGATCCGATCCGTGCATCCCTACATCCCAACCACCAACATCATTTTGGAAACGTCGTATTAATACAAGGTACTTCGAGTTAACTCAACATCAACACGCCACACGTCAACCCCCACAGATATGATGAGACGCATGGCAACGAGACCGGATTTGCTCCTCACAGCTGACGCCTCACACGCACATCCTACTATACATCGGAAACATCTCTCGTAGTTAATTATTATTTACGGGAGATGCTCTCGATGCACGGTGGATATACATGTGAGGCGCCAGTTGTGAGAAGCAGATCCCGTCTCACAACGGCAACTTCCTGTTTTCCGGTGTATGACTCGGCGTCGTGGGACCCATGACATCATGCGGATCTTCTGCTGGCATCACTCTTTTGGTCCCACCGCACTCCATGAGACCATGAACATTGCTGAATTGCAGGGCAGCTCAAATTTTGGGTCCACCTGTTGTGGCCCACCGCCAGCTAGGGGAGTTCATCGGAATGTTAATCAGATATTTTTTTGGGTAAAAAAATGCTGATCAGATGGTTGGGGCCGTTGGGAGCCATGTTTTTCTTTTTTTAATTTTTTGGTTACTAAACAATTGCGGATTTAGTTAACGATTCTGAGACAATTGATGATATATTATGACGATGTCGTCGTTCAATCCCATTCGATTCCGCTCTCTTCCATTCTTTATTTCTTGGGTTAGTTTTTCATCATTTTATGTTTTTAAACTTATTATGCTTTTCGTCGCCGTCTCAGTGCACGGTGATGTTAATGGTGGCGCACGTTGCAAACCAGAAGCCAAAACGTATGCACCGTCTTCCCCTAGTAGAAAGAGGACTGGGGACGGGAAGCCGGGAAGCGGACTCGGGTTCTCTTTCTTTAAAATAGAAAGCAGGTCGCTAAAAGGGGTGGTGGGATTTGGGAAAGCGCTATCGCGCTCTCTCGGTGTCACTGTAGAACTGTAGAATAACAACTCCTCTACCATTGTCGTCTGCATCAAAGACCAAACTTAAAAGCAGTAGCAGAAAGAAAACCCGAAAATCATTTTTCCCTTTCAATTCTCTGAAACATAAAAACGAAAAAAATGGGTAATCAATCGTTCGTCTTTTTTTTTTAATTTTTAATCACACTATAAATATTATTATAATTTCTGGTCCGCACCCCGCATTTCGTAACCCCGCCAAAATCCCTGAAATCTCTCTCTCTCTCTCTCTCTCTCTCCCTCTGAGACTGTCAGACCACATACACATACACATCTACAGCTACTGATAAGTGACTATCGGTGTCTGAAAAAAAAGGAGGGAAGCCTTCGTATCTTATTCTCAGTCAGTTATTCTCTAAAACTCCTAGTCCGCTCGATAAATCCCTTCTCATTCTACTCATCCTTCTGAGATATAAATCAAGTGTTTCTTCGACGATAACGACTTCCATAGGAGATTTCTGGTCTTATTAGGATTTTTAATACATGGCCTCCGAGTAGATGGATTTGTTCCACCCCAGAGAATGGACAACGGATTGAATTCGCAAATGGTTTTCCAGGACGATGGTCTGCAGTTCAGCTGCGGTGCTCCCCAACGTCACGTTGCTGATCCCGGCCGCAAAACCAGGGAGGTCAGCGGCTTTGCAGACGAGAAGATGTTTCCCATCGTCCGAGACCGCTATGTCCGGACACCGGCTTCGGAATTCCGACGGAGCCTTTATGACAGCTCACCTGGTAGGCAAGATCGTCCTGAGAATCAGCAGAATTGGAATGGCAATGGAAGCGCTCGACCGCCCAGTGCCGATGGTTCGGAAGGAGAGGAAGATGACGACGAGGAGGAGGATGACGAAGTTGACGAAGGAGACCGGGAAGTTGAGGCTTTGGACCGTTTGGTTGCGGCCGATGACGGCAACAATAAGAATAACAATAGCAGCAGTAGTGTACATAGTAGCTCCGAGAAAATACGCAATGAAAAATCAAATTTACAGAAACACCCTTCTTTTGGTATGAAAATCTAGCTAATTTTTATTTCTCCTTTTTTTTTCTTTTCATTCTTGATCTTGGAATGCTTAGATCGAGTTCATTTTGACAGGCGGTTCAAGCAGGGGAGCATTGGAAAAGGATGTGAACGTTGTTCAGTCTGCAACTAGCATTAGAGGGAGTCCTAGCGAACAACAACATCAACAAGGTCGGATTACTCACTACGACAATGCAGTTACAATTGCAGAACCGGACATTTATTATTCGCAGTTTCTCCAAGGGACGGAGGGAACAACCCTTGTGCAGAAGGAAATGGGAGGGGACAATGGGTGTGGGTTTAGTGGGAGACGGGATGGATCTTTGTCAAATGAATCCGGAGAATCTCTAAGGGCAATTCTCTCAGATCCTCTGACGTAAGTCTCTCTGATCGTGTGCTGCTTCTTTTTTCATTCTCAATATTTTTCTTTGTCACAGAATATTTGCACTACAGAATTTGTGCTTTAAGTTAGTGAACCGATTTATTTCACTGGCCTGGGCCGCCTGGCAAAACTTTAAAACTAAAACTGCAAGGGATTTCCTTTGGATACATCTTGCCTACTCTCTTCCTTTTTCATAGATCTATTTCATTTGCATATTTCAATTACATATCCTGGCTTTTGGTTCTCCAGTACAATTAACTATGATTTGTACCCCGACTAGCTAAAGAATCCGCTAATCTATTGTCTGATTGGCGAATCCTGGAGAATGCTCCAGCTCCATAATTAGACCACTTACCTCCATTGAGTTCCTATGGTGCTAGGTTCCTAGTGCAGTGCATTAGTATGAAACCAACTTATGATCACATTCGAGTCTCCTACTGCAATGTCCCTCTAGTTTGGCTGTTTTCCCATTCTTAATCCTTGTAATATAGCTAATATTTCTGTGTTGGTTCAGTCTCCTTGAGTCCTTGACCTCCAGGTCCAGAGTATATAGCCGTTATGTGCCCTTGGTGATGTTTGAAAATATCTCCAATTCCCGACCTAACTGGATTTACCATGCTGCGCCCAACAAAGTTAATTTTTAATAGGGTGATGCAGTGGAGCCCAGCTCATTACTCTTTGCTGCGGGTTTCTTTAACCCGAACTGTATTTCTTGGTCACCTCTAATTAATGTTATGGATTTATTTATTTATTTTGATATGGTAAGGGAATTAAACAAGATGAGAAAAGGATCCTCCTAGCACATCTGCAAGGATAATGTAGTCTAGGTCACACGAACTGGCAGTGGAATCACTTATGGCTCCATGATGCCCTTTGTTCGCCAGTCAATCAGCAGACAGTTACCTTCTTTATGCACGTGGTGATAGCTTATCGAATGTTGTGGATTTATTTAATCCTAACTGTATTTTTTTCTAGTACCATAGGTGGAAAAATCATGTGGACATGCACTTGAGAAACAGTTTTTTTGGAGTATGTGGAAAGAAGGAATTCTAAAATATTCAACAAGGAGATTGAGGTCAGAACTATTATTGATATCATTGCCTTAAGGGTGGCCCATTGGGTCTCTATTAGAGAGGAGTTCAAGGGTAATTCTCTAGATTCCTTCCTGAGAGAACAGAGAAGGAATACTAATCAGGACTGGATAGGTTTTGTTCATGGGGTTATAAATTTAACTTTGATGGCCACTTGCTAGGAAACCATGGACCTTCCGGAGTAAGTGTCAACTTTAGAAGCCATCAAGGCAATACCTTGTTGAGTTTCTCAGAACCTGTTGGTGCAAACTCCCTTAGAGCTGATCTTCTTGCCCTTCTACAAGGGCTTAAATTATTTCATTCTTCATGTTGGAAGAGCCTTCTCGTATGAGGCAAGTGTCAGTGGTTGTTGATTGGATGAAGGGTATTGAAAAGGTCCTTGAACCCTCAGATTTTATTGGGAGTAAAATCTCTAGCTGCTCTTTTGAACATCTCACTGCTCATTCAGATAGATACTTTGGCCAACTAATTCTTTTGCTGATTCAATTCTCTTGTGAGAGGTGGAGTTGGGTGACGGGTTAACTCCACCTCCCACAGTCATTATTATTTCTCTTGTGAGAGGTTGTCGGTGCTGGCAGAATGCTGCCTGCGTGGACAACCTTATTTTAATATATAGATTCTTCGGCTATCTGAAGTGTTATAATAAAATATAGAAAAAAAATCATCTCGAAAGACCAAACAGTGCACAGATCAAGCAACATTACTAAACATGTAAAAGAGTAGGCACTGTTATATGGATTATATTTTTGTTTATATGCAAATTATAATGTTATTTAGTATTTTAAATATGTTTAAAGTTTCAACAAAATGAAATCTTTCTGGTTTTTGTTTTTTCTAAAGTTTTGGGGGAGACGGGGAGAATCCTTTTCTATTGTCTTTCAATACAAATATCTTCTATTTACTTCCTTCACCCCCCCCCCCCCCTTTCAGTGAAAAGTTCACTGAAAAATAAAAATAGAAAGCTCTGCACTATTTAACTGGCAATTTGCATTTTTGTTCTATGAATGTAATGATGCAGTTGAAATAATTTATACTCACCTAACTTTAAATTACACTTCATAAGGTTTCTTATACATTTGGAAGAAGGGTTGGAGCGACAAGTCTATATCACATGGGCAGAAGCAGTGAAGAAGATGTGAGACATGGTTGTATGAGAAATCAGGCTCCTTCTCAGTGAAATCCTTTTTTAATGGCCTATCAAGGGAGGATACCTCTATCTTCCCAAGTAACAGGATCTGGATCAGGTCCGTACCATCAAAGCTAGCCTTCTTTGTTTGGACTGCAGTGCTGGATAAGGTTCCAACCAAGGAAAACTTAGTTCGAAGAGGCCTAGTGGTGGCGGATCTGGACTGCACCTTGTGTAATGGAAATGTGGAGACTGCTAGCCATCTATTACTGCACTGTGAGTCTGCGGCTTCACTTACTGGATTTGGGTAAGGTTGCTGGAGTTTTTTGGAGTTAAAATGTGCTTCCAGCTGATGTGGAGGGCTTCATAGAGGCCTGGTTCTTAGGAGGCCTCAGCAAGGTGGGTAAGGTAGCTTGGAGCATCATCCCCTCTGTTGTTTCCTGGGCAGTGTGGGGTGAAAGAAATAACAGATTTTTTTGAAGGGAGGCAGAAGTCAAAAGAAGAGGTGCTCAACAGGATTTTTGGGATGGTATTTTCGTGGCTGACAAATCACTCACTTTTTTAAAAACAGACACACTTGTTCTTTTTTGAGATTGATTTACTTTTTGTAAGAAACATATAGTGTTTTTTGGGCTTGATTGGGGGTTGACTTTGATGAGTTTTATTGTCTTTCCCACTGTACAGTTTTCTCATTGTACAGGGGCCTTATTGTATTTTGGCCTTTTGATATTAATGAAATGCTTTACATTACAGGCAAAAAAAACAAAATCTCTTGCAATGTGGTGGGTTTCTTATGGAGATATTTCAATTCCTTATTTATAGTTCAGTTTTTTCGGCCCTGCGATCTGGATGCAATCTTCTCTGTGTGGCTAAATATTCAAGGGAGAAAAAAAAGGCACATATTTTTTAGAGTTGTGTTCCATTGCAATAGGTTGGGGGCTTTGATGAGAAAGTATTAGGAGACTGTTCGAGGGTAGTAAAAGAGGTATGGGCAGATTATGTGCTGACATTGGAAATATGGTTGTATACTGGTTTTGGTGTTACCAGAATTTTAAGGGATGGACAGATCTTATAGTTTGGACTTTTAGGTTACTTTTGAACTGTCTTTTGATGTTGAAAATTGATTAATTGTTTGAGATGTTAGTCTCTGGTGATGTATTTCACTATGATGTTAGGTTCTAGCTCATCGCCCTAGATGCTATTTTACTCTTTATCTTTTATTATTATTATTTGTTAGGTGACATAACTTTGTTAAATAAAAAAGAATAAGTATATACAAGGCTTAGCTGCTTAGTTAGAGCCCAAAAGCTCCATATATAGGTTGGACTAGTCACTTATCCCAAAGCCTAGTATTATAGCCAAGCCCAAAACATTTGTTGCCTATAAATCCTAGTGATTTAAAAGGCGCGCCTCAGGTGCATAGGCGAGGCGTATTTTGGGGTATGCGCCTCGCCCAGGTCCTAGGCGCACCCCTTTCAAAAGGTGCGCGCCTAGTGCGCCTTGCGCCTCAGCCCAGGCATGCGCCTTTTTAAAATTTTGCGCTTTTTGTTTTTTTTTTTTTTTTAGTCTAACAGCTGGGCCGGGGGCTCCGCCCTCGGACCCCCGACCACACCCCTCGAGGCAAGCCCGAACAAGTCTATGTTAGGGTCTGAAATTCTTATTTGCTAATGTTGTTCATTATTCATTGCAATAAAATATCCTCTTAAAAGGCAATGAAAGTTATAAAACCATTGTTTTTTATGTGAGAAATAAGAAATTCAGACCCTAACATAGACTTGTTTGGGCTTGCCTTGAGGGGCGTGGTACAAAGGCGACTCATAGAATCAAGAATGCAATATGTTTTACATCACATTAACTACTTGAAGCAATGCATTTAAGGAAAAAAAGAGATTGTGGGCTTTACATGCTTGAAAATGCTTTATATGTTTGCTTTTATTTTTAAATTTTCATTTGAATACACTTTACGTGTTATTTTTATGTATTTTAATATTAGATAATAGGTTTTTTAAATCATTTATTTTAAAATTTAAGTTTATATTTTTTATTAACATTATGTTTAATATTTTTTGACATTTCTTAAAAAAATTTGGCATTTTTTTTTGAATTTTCTTTTTTTTTTGTGCCTTTCTTAAAAAGGCATGCATCTCGCCTTGTGCCTTGCGCTTTTAAAATACTGATAAACCCCTTGTTTAGTCAAAGCATCTCCCATTGCATTTGTTGATCTTTGTACCCATTGAGAAGGCTAGACCTGCTTCCCCGGCCAGCCAATTTATCTCCTTTATTGTACTCTTCTTTTTTTTTTTTAATGAAAAATTTCTTTCATTTACTATAAAACTGATGGTTGCTAATGTAGTAGTCATTGCTATTGTACTCTCTCTCTCTCTCTACACACACATGTATATAGGCATGCTTTTTATTGTATTGATTGGTTACTAATTATTTGGTGGAGAACATATTCATAATTAAATATTTAGGATTATAGTAATCAATTCAACAAGCCATTCAGTACTTCAGTCATTTTTTTTTGATGAATAATAATAAGTTTATTGATTCAGAAGCAAATTAGAGTGAGTT